TGTAAGGCCTAAGAGCTAGGAAGTGGTGGGGCTGGGATGAGACTTCAGGATTTGTGACCTTACCTTGCCATTTTATCAGGGGGAAATTAACTATCCTTTTCTACCAAAGAATAAGAGGCCATTTTAATAAAAAGAATAACCAAACTGCCTTCTTTCTTCTCTTTAAGCTTCACTAAGGGGAAAAAATAATTACAGTTTCTACTACTGCACCAAATAAAACCATGCCATAGGTGTAGGAGCAAAGAGAATGACTTGGAGCAAAAGTCATAGAATGCTGCTGGTTTCTCCAGGTACTAGACTTGGGTGACATGTTTACTCCCCTGGGCCTCAGTTTCCTTATCTACAAAACAGAATCACAGTAAAACCATGGGATTATGAGCAAACCCAAAGTTTAATGGATCACTCTGTGCACTCCAAAGTAAAATGAATATAAAATAGTGTAATTATGATAATCTGGTTCATAGTTAAAAAGTTACTATTTTGTAAGCCACAATCCAAAGTGTAAAACTTAGAGCTCTAAAACTTCTGAAGAAGAACATAGGAAAAAATCTTTATAACCCTGGAGTAGGCAAAGATTTCTTATTGGTTGGAAAGTCATGACATAGTTTAGTATAGAAAGACATAGAAAAATACATTATGACTTTCCTGACGACCTAATAGATACAACACTGAAAGTCCGATCCACAATAGTAAAATGAATAAATGGGACCATTTCTTTTTTCTTTTTCTTTTCTTTCCTTTCTTTCTTTTTTCTTCTTTTCTTTTCTTTTTTTTCTTATTTTTTATTTAAGGTTTTTGTCATTGGGGGCATGCAATCACTGGAGAAAGAGAAACAGAAAGAAACACTCTGAGAGAAAAAGTGAGAAATCACTTCTGGTGGGAGATGGCCATACCACAATCGCTTCTCTTTCATTCTCCTCCTGGGATTTTGGGCAGGTGCACACACGTATCCAGCATGAGTTCAAGCTGCAGGGTCTGGGACCTGAACTGTGGTTGACCACGTGGGAGTCCAGCACCTTAACCACTAAGCTACATGCTGGCCCCTGATAAGTAGGACCATTTCAAAATGAAAAACTATTGCTCTTTGAAAGATACTGTTAAAGAAGCTGGCAGGTGGCATGGTGGTTAAAGGCACTGGATTCCCACATGGCTGACCACAGTTTGAGTCCCAGAGCAGGCGGTCTACTTTCTCGCTTTCCTTCTCTTTCTCCACCCCTCTCTAGTCAAATTAAAATAAATGAATAAATATATAAAACAATTTTTTAAAAAAGGTACTGTTAAAAATCAAAAAAGGGACCAGCAAATGGCGTAATGGTTACATTACTGGACTCCCAAGTAGTCGACCGTGGTTTGAGTCCCAGACCTGGTGGCTTCAAATTTGTGCTGGGCCCATGTGTATGCATGTCCAAAATCCCAAAGAAAAGAATGGAGAAGAAGGGATTGTGGCATGGTCATTCCCCAGGGGAGTGATTTCCTGCTTTCTGTCTCCACAGTAACACTGCAAACTCAACAAAAGAGATTACATGAGACTATACCGGCGAAATAGAATTCTATGACTTTTTTCTAAAACATTACTGACTTTCTTCTATGCTTTGTCTTCCAGATTTAAGGATTTTTTGTTTTCTTTTGATTTGTTCTTTCAGCAATTTGTTAAAAAACGAATTTTTTAAATTGACACATAAACTTTTTCCCCTCCTAACCCCTTTGCAATTGGAAAATATTTGTGAGCATTCTCATTTTGTGGCAGAATGGTTATTTTTATAAGTTCAATAATACAATAGTATCTGTCACCTTGCATCAGAAATTGAATTCTTATGGGGCTTTGTACAAATAACAGATCAAATTGAGATTAACCTAATTTTTTTCCAATATGCTAGTTTCACCTCTCTTTAGTAAAAGGGGAATACAAAGAGGAAAAAAAGATGTTTCAGAAGAAAATTATAATGTACTTGTCACTAGATTCTAGCTTTGTCCATACTTTATGATCTTTTGTAAAACAGTAAGATGTGAAAAGAAAAAGTTTTGTATGGAAGGGAGAGAGGGGGAAAGGGGAAGGAAAAAACTGGTAGAAGTATGCTTAATTGACAAAAAATGAGAAGCTTGGGAACCAGCAGTTAGCGTAATGGCTATGTCTCTGGACTCCCACGTAGTCGACCGCGGTTCGTGTCCCGGACCCGGTGGCTTAAAACTCACGCCGGGCGCGTGTGCGTGCATGCCCAAGATCCCAAGAGGAGAATGGAGGAGAAGGGATTGCGGCGTGACCATCCCCCCTGGGGGGTGATTTCTCGCTTTTTGTCTCTATGTCTCTCTCTGTCTGTCTGGCGAGCGCACGCGCCCTACAGTGAAAATCTCTCCAAAAAAAAAAAAAAAAGAGAAGCTATTTGCTGATGACAATGTATATAGTAATATTTTTTGTCTTGACTGACATGCATGACATTTGTGTTGGAAGAAGAAATGTGTACTGTAAAGACGTGATTAAATGTAAATACATTTTTAAAATGGGGAAATATTTAAATAATACTTCACTAAAAATTGTATGGATGGCAAAAATACATGAAAATATCTAGTGTAACTAGTTATTAGGGAAGCTGTATTAAATTTCACTCCATGTTGAATCCTTTTCTTCCTAACACATCTGTAATTCATCAAACTTTCTAATGAAATCACAAAGTACCACTACACACCTACAGAATAGCTTAAAAAATACAAAAAGATAATATGAGATACACACTTATCATATGATCCAAAGACCCTACTCTTTTTTAAAAAGAATTATTTATTTAATTAAATTAATTTATTTTTAAAAAGCTTTTGATCAGAGAGAGACACAGATTGAGAGAAGGAAAATGAGAAAGCAAACCACCAGATCTGGGACTCAAACCATGGTTGGCCATGTGATCATGCCCAGTGCCTTAACCACCTCACCACCTGCTGGCCCCGTAGCAACCATACTCTTAAGTACTTACCCCAGAGAAATGAAAATCTATTTTCACACAAAAACCTAAATGCAAATGTTTATAGCGATTCTAGCCATAATTGCCAAAACCATAGAACAACCGAAATGTCATTCAACAAGTGAATGATAAACTGATACGTCCATATGATAGAAAACCAAGTAAATGGAATGAACTACTCAGATAAGTAACAAACATGGATGACTCTCCAATGCATTTTTCTAAGTGAAATAAACTAGACTCCAAATGGTACTATTACATGGTTCCATTTACATGGCATTCTGGAAAAGGCAGACTTCAGGGACAGAAGACAGATCAGTGGTTGCCAGGGCATGAGTTGGGGATGAGAACTCAGAGAACTGTACACTAAAAGGAGTGACTTTTCATTTATGTAAGTTATTCCTCAATAAATCTAGCTTTAAAATGAGATACCATAATTTTGGCTACACACATGTGTATATGCACATACACAAAGAAGTAAATATAATTTATATATGAATAGCTATTAAAATTTTAATATATATATATAAAATTAAACTTGAATGTGTATGTGTGTGTGTGTATTTTTTCTCTTGAAAAGTAAACACAAAAAACCACTAGTTAAAATGGTTGTCTTCAGGGAGTCAAACTGGAAGATTGGGAGACAGGGTAGAAGGAATATTCAATTTTCATAGTATACCTTTTTTCAATTGGATTTTTTTTACTACTACACACATAATACATAAAATATTTAAGAATGAAACACAAACATTAAAGATTGCTCTGCTGAGCTGACTATTTTATTTGGGGGACTTTTTGACCACTGAGTATAATTACTGGGTCTATGGTCAACCACAGGGGACTCTGATGAGGGGCCTCCTTTTTTTTTTTTTTTTTTTCATTTTTCGAGAGATTTTTACTATAGGGCACGTGCACTCACTGGAGAGACAGAGAGACAGAAAGTGAGAAATTACCCCCCTGGGGGGATGGCCACACAACAATCCCTTCTCCTCTATTCTCCTCTCAGGATCTTGGGCATGCATACACAGGTGCCCAGAGTGAGTTTTAAGCTGCCAGGTCTGGGACTTGAACCACAGTTGATTATGTGGGAGTCCAGTCATGTAACCATTATGCCATCTGCTAGTCCGGGACCTTCTCTTTAGGTTGAAGGTTTGACTCAGTCTTCTCCAACCAACTCTAGAACCCACACAATGAATTCTAAAGTTCTGGCAATTCTAAATTTCATCAACTGTTCCTGAAAAGCAACCATCCTTACCTGTTAATTTTCATATTACTTAGGTTATGCTTTTGGCAATGACCGATATTTTGTTCACATACCTGTCATTGATAGTACTGCCAATATTAGTTACTTAAAACAAAAATCACACTACTCTTCTGCTTATCAGCATCTATTTCTCCTTTTTGCTTATAAAGTCCTTAGTTTGGAACATAAAGCTTCTTAGACCTAGACTCCAACCTGTCTTTCCAGTTCATTCTTCTGTTTGCCTCCTCAGATGCTTAAGGCAAAAGAATCTCACTATTCTCCAAATACACTTTTATTTTTAAAAATTTTATACTTTTTCTATACTGTATCTCTTCAATTGAAGTAGGCTTCCCTTTCTTATCCAGTAGATAAACTTCTCGCTCACCTGAAGACTATCCCTCAATGTCACCCTTTGTGGTATCTTCTTGATTCCCTCACACACAGTTACTGCTCAGTTCCCCCTGCTCCCATAGTACTGAATTTATAGCACTATCAAGTCATTTATCATAATACATTCTAGGTTTTCTGTTTAAGAGTCTGATTCACCAACTAGACATTGAACTTCTTGAAGAACGGGCCCAAGGTCTTTCCTTGTAGATTCTCATACATCTCTTTGTGCCTGTAAGGTACCAGAAACATAAACAGTTCTCTCCTTTATTTCTATGTAAAATTGTGGGCGGGCACACACTGTCCTTGAATGAACACATGAATGAGTGCCAGTGTCACATACATGGAAGTTAAGGGAAAGAAAATAAAACCAGAAATCTATTTTGAAGCACCAGCTGGTATCCCTAATCTCTTACCATCTTGGAATGTGTCATTAATTGCGATGACAGCCTGGAAGGGTTTGGTCAGTTCGGCTCCTTGTGCAGAGCTGAGGAAAACCACAAATGTCTCCAGTCCTTCAATTACTGGATATTGAGTGTCATCCAAGATAGTCAAGGTGCAATACTAGAAAAGAAATGAAAGCAAATCTTTACAGAGGACCCAACACCCAATATCCACTTCCTTTTGAGAGAGTAGGACAAAGGTAGCAACTTGCTCATCTTTGGTGGTCTTAAAGGAAGATTCTCTTAATCCATAAAATGATAATTTGTTTATTGCAATCCCTAGGTATTTATTTGTTCCTAGATATTTACATCAAACAAACAGAGTTTCTCTCCCAAATCTGAAATGCTGGATATTAATGGTGAACCCATCACTTGGAAAAATTTTTTAAAGATCCCCTCACCAATTTGTTTTCCTGTCTGTATATTTATGCTTTTAAGAAAGGAAAGAATAACATTGCAAGCTTAAAGTCCTCAAGATAGCTTGGGAAGCAGACTAAAGACAACACTAGCAGCCCCACCTGGCCTTATGACTTGGTGGTGCTGGGACAGCTGTGTCCTCACCTGTTCAGTGATACCAGGTCCAAACTCCACCTTCCTAGAGCTGGGAACATAGTCCACTCCTGGAGTGGCAGAAGCTGGGTCTGAGGGCCGCGTGGCACACCACACCGATGTGAAAGTAGAAAGGTCAGTACCATGGCGGATAACTGGAATCTTCACTGTGCCTGGATTAAGATTCATAGATTTGATGGTCAACCTGGAGCCAGAAGTCAGTGGGGTTTCCAAAACAATGCTCTCCCTCAGTGCAATAGCAGCAGCTTTACCCCACTCAATTTGTCTACTCCAACATCAGTGATGTTCTTAGGCCTCCTCTGAGGGAGGCTGAGAGGTGTCATTTTCTCTCTTTTCACTGACACTAAGATCAAGAAGAGACCTAGAGAAAGAGCCTCATGGAGGTGGTGCTGGAGAGGCAGCCCTTAGGGGAGAGTAGTCTCAGGGCTTCACAAAGGAGACTATTCCCCAGAGATGAAGTCACACTTAAGGGGTTGTAGGGCCCATTGAAAAGCATCTCAAGCCTATTTAGGGAGAAGAAACTCAGAGAATGGGGCTTTAGGGATGAGCTAGAAAAGAGTCAATTAAGGAGGAACCAGTTAGGGGACTCTATGGGGCCTGAAGTTGAATGTTCCTAATTAAATGTTCCTAACTGGGTTGATTTCCCTATTTTATCCCAGGGATGCACACATCATTGCCTAAACCATATGGGCTTATTGTCTATCGCAGGAATAAAACTCATCTTCTGGTCCATGTGACGTCACACTTTCTAGTGTCCTAGAGACACTTAGCTAATTTTAGGGTCAAGGTCAGAAAAATACTATATATAAACTCCATCAATCATCACATTTTCCTAGGCCATATTCTACAAAGGACATAGTCATGGCTGGTCACTGGTGTGTGGGAAAGGAGATGTGGTGTAGTATAAAGGTCTAGGGTCTAATCCAGCTTAGTCATTATATCAGCTGCTGAATCTCTGATCATCTACTTAATGTCTATGGGCCTCCACTTTCTTTTCTATAAAGTATTATTTTTATTTTTTGAAAGTTTAAATTTTTTTTTAAAATTATATAGGGCATATACACTCACTGGAGAGACAGAGGTATAGAGAGAAATCACCCCCCAGGGGGATGGCCACTCCACAGTCTCGTCTTCATTTTCCTCTTGGGATTTTGGGCACACACATGTACCCAGCATGAGTTTCAAGTTGCCAGGTCCAGGACTTGAATTGTGCTCAGCCACATGGAGCCCAGCACCTTAAGCACTATGTCACCTAGTGGTCCCTATAAAATGTTATTTTTTTCATAAAAGACAAATTGAGAGTGCGTGGAATGCACATGGCATAGTGCCTGGCATTCAGTAACAGCTCAAACATAGTTTCCAGTGTCCCTAAGAATCCCTTCAAAGAGGTGAAAAGCCTTGCTCTAGTTCAGATCAGTAAAAACTCAACACAGCTGCTGCCCTCTCTGCAGCAAGAGACAAAGGACTTCAAGACCCTTGTGGAGCCACAAGAGGGAAGGAGCCTAGGTCTCCGCAATTCGATGCAGAGATCGGTCCAGCAATGCCTTAGGCTGTTACATGAATGAGAACATTCTGTTGTGTTAAGACACTGAAGCTTTGAGTTTGTTTGTTTCAGCAGCAGTAGTACACTGAATAACTCACCTCCATCCTGGACAGTTCACATCTCTCTCCTTCACAAGCCAAAATGCCTTCCTTCTGAACCAGAAAGGTCAGCCACTGATGCTCAATGTCATAAATAAGCAGACCAAGACAAGTGAATGGAACTCTCTGTTTCACTACCTTCCATTCTTGGTCTTGATGCCTGATGTTATTAAAAGCCTCAGACCAACAACAGGGGCACTGAGGAATGGTATTCTCAATGCTTTCAGGACGCTCTCAAACCTAAGGAGAAACTTGTTCAGGAAAGATTGCTGGAATCACAGAGGTGCTCTCATTACCTGCATCCTCACTGACAGTGAAGGCGGTGTTGCTCAGGGACACGGTGGAGGCATCATTGGGACCACCAATGAACACCTTGGCCATCGCCACCTTTCCAATGCGGGCATTGTCAGAAGCATCTGCCAGGACAATCTCAAACTCCTCTTCCTCTTCATACTCACTGTCATCAATGAGCATGACATCACAGGTGGACATGGTGACACCAGGTCCAAATATCACACGACTCTCAGCAGTCCTCCCTCTAGATTTAAAATCAGAGCCTGATTCCAGAGCATACAGGCTACTCCCCATAGCTGACTTAGGGATCGTGTAGCAAATTGCAGATACAATGCTGCTTGAATCTCCTGAAATACAGATGGCAAGAAATCCAAAGCATGTGAATCGATGTTCCTCAAATTTTAAAATCTCTTGTGCTTAATGAGCTTGGGTTCCCACATTCCATCACTATTTCTGTTAAAACTCTGACACAAAACCTTCCTGAACTGCAGTTTCCTTTAAGCCTGTGGTATAAACCACTTGAGGATTTAACATACTCCTGATACTTCACCAAACATCTTAAAATGGATTTCCTATTCTGTGAATTTTGTGCTCTGTTAATTCACAAGACTCATTGCCCACCATCTAAGACCACAGCGGGTGGAAAGACAAGCAACATATTTGGTACTTTAAGAAGCAAAGTAATTGTGTCCTGGAGGTAGTGCTGTGAGCACAGTTCACTGCCTTTCCGAATAAACTTCTGCACTTTAATTCCCAGAGAGAAACAAGCTTGTTTAAAAAAAGAAAGACAAAACAAAATAAAACCCATCTCTCTGTGCAAATGACTTTACCTGGTAGTACTGCTACTTCGCTGGGCAACACCCTGTACTGGGCCTACCCTAGTGATCCAGAGAAGTCAATGGGGCTTTTCTGTTTTCAAAGTGGCATTACCAAGGTTTTGTGCTATCTACATATTTGTTCCCAATACTCAGCCAGCACATTCAACAAAGAAACCTAATATCATCACTTACAGTCATGCCATGGCTTTAAAGAGGATTTAATGTCCATGTATTAAAGTCTTAATATCACACAATCGTAAAGTTATACGATCTTTGTTTTGATCTTCAGCCCCTCAGGAATTACCATTTATTTGTCACCCACAGTTAATTTTGCATCTGAGCTCCAGATCTGACACTCATGCAGGGAACTCTTTAAGTACACTTTGCCTCTCAAGAACTCAGATGAGGAGCCAGTTCTTATGAACTGTAACTTCCTCCCAAGGTTACTAATTAAATATTTTATGGATTGGGTGATTGATTAAAAACAGTAAGTTCATGAATAATTTGCAAGGCTAAATATAACCAGTCTCCTCGTCTTAATTTAAGAATAAATGAGAGGTCTAAAAACTTGAACTAAGAAGAGAGGCCTTCTGACAGTATGCACTATGAGTAGAACCATCTTTAGGGCTGTCGTGGGAATTAATTACATATAAAGTATTTATATACATGAGTTAACATGATACATGGACACTTGGTACAGAAAAGGGACTCAATAAACATCAGCCATTATTACAGCTCCTTGTCATCTTTGGCACCCACAGACCTTTTCTTTCAACTGGTGCAAATAGGAAACCAGCACTCTCGTTGACCCGGTAGGTCTTCTTATCGAACTCTAATGTAGGTTCATCCTCAGTGTCATTGATAATGACCTTCGCCTGAGTGAAGTCCCCTAAGAGGGCATATGCTGGCATGCTGAGCTCCACAGTGAAACTCTCAACATTCTCAAACACATCATCATCGTTAATGACAATGGTGCAGGACTTGGTGTCCTCCCGCTCATCAAACTGTACCTATCAAAGGAAACAACAAAACATTAAGGTGTGGTTTACTATACTGGGTTTGTTTGTTTGTTTTAAGGTTTTTGCCATAGTGCATGTGCACTTGCCAAAGAGACAGTAAGAGTAAAAGTGAGAAATTACCCACTCCTCCCCCAGCCCCGGGGAGGGGTGGAGGATGGCCAAGTTGCAATCCCTTCTCCTCCATTTTCCTCCCTGGATTTTGGGCACACATGCACAGTGGCATATATACACTACAGAATACTACTCACCCATAAAAATGAGACCCTGGCATTTGATAGAAAGTGGATGAATATGGTAGACTTAATGCTAAGTGAAGCAAATCAGACTATGAAAGAGAGGCATTGTATGTCTCCATTTAATATATACCAAATGTCGGTACTCTAGGACAGAAACTGAAAGACTGGAAAGTATAAAACGATGGAGAGCAACTGTGGATGCTAGAGACAGTGTGGGAGGAGGGTGAGAAATGTGGGGTGGAGGGGTGGGGAGGAGGGAAAGAATCAAGAGGGAGAAAAAGAAGTAAAAGATTTAAGGGACACAAAAATGGAAAATTATCAGTTGATGATAATGTGTATGGCAATACCTCTGACAGGTCTAAAATACAGTATATTTATACTGGGAAAACTTACTTTGTATTAAAGCTGTAAAGATACACAGTGATTGAATGTAAAATAAATAAAAGAAAGAAATAAAGACAGCAGTAA